CCCCCACTAGTTTATTTACAAAAGTCTAAAATAAAACAAATTGGAACAAATTGCTTCAATTTCCCTCACCCCCTAATGCATCAAATTGTACAACCCAATGACTAATTCCCTCTTCCCCCTATACCTCCGCATCCCTCTGCTTCCAGCCTTTCCCACCCCTCCTGGATCCTTTATACACATTCTACAATATTTAATATTTATCCTTGTGGGACTGAGTCAGTTCACTCAGCATAATGTTCTCTTGTCCCTCCCAAGTTAGGTAATAATTTACGAAGTTACTGCTCCTGTGTGCTACATAGTATTCCATTGTGTGAATGTACCATAACTTCTCAATCCGTTCCTTTGTGGTTGGTAATTTGGGCTGTTTCCATATTCTTGAGAATGCTGCTATGAACATTGGTGTACAAATCTCAGTTTGTGCCTCAGTTTTCATATTTTCAGGGTATATTCCAAGTAGTGAAATAGGTGGGTTATATGGAATTTCTATGTTCAGCTTTTTGAGGAAGCGCCAAATTGCCTTACAGAATGGTTGCAACATTTTACAATCCCATCAGCAATGTATAAGAGTTCCTTTCTCGCCACATCCTCTCCAACATCTATTACTTGCTGCCCTGTTAAACTTTGCCACTCTTACTGGAGTGAGAGGCTATCTCATTGTGGTTTTGATTTGCAGCTCTCTTATTGCCAGTGATTTGAAGCATTTAAAACAAAAAAAAATTTATTCATTCATTGTTGCACATTTTCTTCCCTTCCCCTCCCTTTCTGCAACTGCTACTCTCTTTCACTCTGTCTGACTGGTAATTCTAAGGAGGAAGTGCCTCCCTGATGCCATTATAAGCCTGTCCAGTTTTTGGTGGAAAGTCATGACACAGTGCGTTTGAACAGTGACTATGGGCCATAGTTACACCAGTCTTCTATAAAACCAGAAAGCTTGACCCTTGGTTTGTGTGCCATATTTCTCCCCCGTGGACTATGCCAGTGGACCTCGATGTGCCCCGAGAAGGAGCCACGTTGAGGTGCAGGTGGGATTTAGGCCTGTGGGGGATCTGAGTACACTATTCCCTTCTCTATCCAGGACATTGTGATTCAACAGGAAGATGAAATCCGTTTGAAGATTGTGGGGACCCGGGTGGACAAGAATGACATTGTAAGTCATTGGCCTGACCCCTCCCTGCCACTGGTACTGGGCACATGTGGGAGATGTTGATTTCTTCCAGCCAGAGTGACTGGGGTCCTATGGAAGAAAGGGTGATGGTGGGTGGAAGGGCTGCGGTGGTAGGGGGTCAGGTTATGAGCTTCATTTTCTTTTTACCTTCTGTCTTGCAGTTTGCTATTGGCTCCTTGATGGACGATTACCTGGGTGAGCGCCTGACGGGATTGCTTGCATGCTGAGATTGGCGCCCAAGCAGGGGGTGTGGGGCAGGGAGAAGACAGAGCTTTAATGCCGGAGTAACAGCTCTCTCAGGCTGTGTACTCAGGAGATCCAGGGCATGTCCCCTTGGGATGGGGAGGCAGGGGTGGGACTGTCCCTGGCTCACTGATGTGCCTTTCTTCTTCTCCTCACAGGACTTGTGAGCTGAGCCTGAGGCCTCCTGCCTTGTGTGGCCCTGATTTAGCACCTGTGGCTGCCACACTCCAATGTCGCCCAGAGGCCGCTTTTTGGCTGTGAAAAGCAAAGAAGGTTCCTTGTCCTCAGCAAACATCTGATTCTACCTCCTCTGTAGCTGGCTTTGTGTCACCCATAAAAGTCCTCATAAAAGATGCTTGGTTCTCCTGGAGCTCTTACCTCCTCCTTTGTCAGGAGCTGCTATTCCATTTTTTAAAAGACTGTGGGGTTTCCCAGAGGTGTGCGGTTCAAATTCACTGGATGCTGTGCTGGAGAAGAGGGGCAATCTCCTCCTGTACCAGTCAGATCTGATTTGACGGTACACACACAAAATTATAAAATAAAAAAGAAAAAAGACTAGGGCTAAATGCCCCTCAGCCCCCTTTCCTCTTCTGATGATTCAGCCTGCCTCAGTCCCTCATGGACCCGACAGAGCCACCTCCCTCATTCCAGAGGTGACCTCACTAAAGGCAGGACATTGATGTTGGGACTCTGGCTTTCAGCCAATAGGACCATCGTTGGGGTCATTCTGAGTCCTAATCCTGGTCCGGGATACTCCCCTACTCTTCCCTGCTCTTAACCAAGAGTGTAACTGGGCAGGAAGGAAGGGGGACCAGGGGACAGTGACACAAACTGTGCACACCAACACAGTCTTCTGAGCTTCATAACAACAGAACCCTTTATTTACTAATCACTTGTTGATATCACCATAGTAATTGTAATACAGAATTTATTTCCTAACTAGAATTTAACATATCTAGTTGGTCAACTCTGTTGAGTGATGAACAACAGAGATACATGCAAAATAATGACAAGGTGAGGGAGCTCTGGTGGCCTAGTGGCAAGAAGCTGCACTGCAATCCCAGAGGTACATGGTTTGAATCCACCAGATGCTCTGCTGGAGAAGGAGGGGCAGTCTCCTCCCGTACCTGTCAGATCCTATTTGACAGTACACGTGTACAAAATAATAAAGTAAAATAAATAGAATATTTAAAAAAAATATTGACGAGGTGAAACAGACACGCCGCCCTCCACGCTGTGCCTTCACCCTACTGTTGGTCACTTCTCACCTCAGTTATTCTTGTTTAGGCCCTTTCCCTGTGCCGTAGGAAGCATGAGATTTGTATTGAAGCCGACCTCACTTTCAGTCCCATCTTGTGCTTTCTTCTGGTAAGAAGAGCATAAAGTCAGCTTTGAGTGGTGCTGGGGAGATCAATAACAACACAAGTCTTGTCCATTTCCTGGAGTGTAGTTCCTGTCCTCACCCTTTTGTTACCCCTGGCCAGCCTCCAGCTCATCCCTCGACTTCCACTCACACTCTACTGTGTATCACAAATCATCCTGTTTTCACGGCCTTTCCTTGCATTGTGTGAAACTCTTATTGAGAGAGTTGGAAATTCACATGTAGCCCTTTCCTTTTGCATTCCCCACCTCCCAGTTTGTTAGATGAGGAACATTTCAGTGCTGGATTTGCCATGGCCTTTCCAGAGGAAACTATATTCCAGCTGATATACAGCATTTGTAGATTTCCTCTAGACTCTAATCTTGTGTCTCTGGGGGTTAAGATGCCAAGTTCCCAGATGGTCCTGCCCATTTGTTGACTCTTGGGGTGATGAAGTCACACTAGGTCTGGAAGGAAGAGCCAGGGGGCAGCTGGTGAAGCCTGAGCAGATGGGCACCAAGAGGCTAGCACAGAGCAGGTGAAGTGGTAGGTGAGGCTGCAGGGACCTTTTCAGGTTGGTACTGGAAGAGGCAGAAATTTGAACCTTTGAGGCCACAGGCTGAAATGAACCCTGTGCACATTTCCTTGCAAGATCTGCACAATCTGAATGATTGAGAACACAAGGTCACAGGCTCAAGTGGTGTTGCCATGGTAACCCCAGCCCAGCCATCTGGTCTTAACTTTGGTCCCTGAGGATCTACGAGTGGGGGGGGGGGCGCAGAGGCACTCATGTTCTGTTCAGGAAAGTTTCCTGCCGTGCGCATCACAAAGGACCCCATCTGTGGTGAACACAAGGGAATGCACTGTCTCCTAAGACGTGAGGGAAGGAAAATTCAACGGACGACTTGGCCACCTGCTTCCACAGACTTGAACTCATTTAATCTGTCATAACTCTTGGCATTATTATCCTATTTTCTTGCTGATTAAAAGTGATTGGGTAATTTACCTAAAGACGGTGCCAAGATTTGATGCCAGGTCGATCTGGCCTCTGAATACCATTCTTGACTCAAGAAACCTAATGCTTTAGGGAGCTCTGGTGGCCTAGTGGCAAGAAGCTGCACTGCAATCCTGAAGGCACTTGGTTGGAACCCACCAGACGCTCTGCTGGAGAAGGAGGGGCAATCTCCTCCTGTACCAGTTGGATCCAATTCAAGAGTACATACACACAAATAATAAATTTTTTTTAAAAAGTAAAAAAAAAATCCAATGCTTTTCAATCAAGAACTGCCCAAGTCTCTGCTATTGTAGCACAATTTCAGGAAAGAGAGCACATATGAGTGTGTGTGAGAGACACAGAGCCACACACAGGTCAGGGAACTCTGCGAGGCAGTGAGGGCTTTTATTTGGTTCCCCAGACAGAAGTAGGGAGGTGAGGGAAGGTTCAGAATAAGCTGAGTTCCGGAGTTTAAGCTTTCAGAGTGTTGAACTTCTGTCTGCCAAAGACATTTAGCAGGAGCCCCATTCTTTCAGGAATCAAAAGTGCCAAGTGATGGGAGAGGTGAGTAGTAAAATGACGCAGGACACCAAGCCCCAAATCCTCGCTGCACTCACATAAACGGAGGTATTGGGAAACTCTGGAGCAAAAGATGAACGATGATGCTTCCCTGGAGCATATGGTTATCACATACGTAAGCAAAAGTATACAGACCACATTCCACTGTGGAGTCAGATCTGACTCAACCTAACTGACAGAGTAAGGTTTCTCTGGTTCTAAATTTTTTAAACTATTGTTTTAAAATTTTCGAACAAACTGCAGCTTACATTTGGCCTAGTGGAAAGAAAGCAATGCTACCAAGCCAAAGGTGAATGATTTTATTCTGCAGCCTTCAGGCCTGGCTTTAATTGGTTTTGGTCAAGCATTCTTCTAAGTGGTATAGCACTGGTCTGTCCATTTGCTGTACAAAGTTAACTGTGTTTGCTGTGATAGTAAACCCTGTGACACTGGTGTGTCAAATGCGATAATGATTACCCATGGTGGACAGTGTCTAGCTCCCCGATTAAAACAAGCTTGGAAGCTGGAGTGGCATCTACTTCCAAAATAGCTTGCCTCTGGAAACCCTATGAATTTGGAGAAACGATGAAAGTGTTGCAGGCTGAGGGTAAAGTATTTTTATAATTATTAATAATGAGACAGACTACCAGGAATGATAAAAGAACAGAGAGCATGGAAAACGGGCCAACAGTACTCCTGACTGAAGGCCTCAAGCCATGCCTCTCTGGGTATTTATTGAGAATCATAAGGAAGGTACAAAACAAAAACAAGGGATCATGGGGAAGTCTTTTGCAGATAAGGCCAAGTTCCTCTTTATGCCTATCTCAAGAGCCAGGGATTCAGTTAATACAAACTAAGAACAATGTTGACTCTTTTTTTTTGGTTCTCATGGATTTTATTTTCTTTAGCTTAAGTTTGCACTTACGTATGAGTAGTTGGTAGTCTGTTCCACAATCAGCACCTGGACTAGTTTTCACAGCTGATATTGAGCTTCTGTAGTAATTCTTCCTACAGATGTAGTCAATCTGATTCCTGGGTGTACCATCAGGTGAAGTCCATGTGTATAGTCAGTGTTTATGTTTCTTGTAAAGGGTATTTGTAATGAATAAATCATTATCATACAAAATTCTATCAATCTATCTCCAGCTTCATTTCTGTTACCAAGTCCATGCTTTCTGACTACTGATCCTTCTTTCCTATTCCCAACTTTTGCATTCCATTCACACATTATTATTAATGCATGCTGGTTGCATGTTCTATTGATTTCAGACTGCAAAAGTTGGTAAAAATCATTGCTCGCAGGAACTGAGGAGGACTGCAAGTATTTGCTGCAGAAAGACAAGGACTTCAGTATGGATTGAAGCTCAACATCAAGAAGGCAAAGATTCTCACCACTGGGCCAATTGGAGCACCATGACAGATAGAGACAAGATTGAGATTGTTAACAACTTCAGCTTGCTCAGCTCCACAATCAGCATTCTTGGAACCAGCAGTCAAGAAATAAAAAGTTTAATTGCTTTGGAGAAAACTGCTGTCAGGGATCTCTCCAAAGTGCGAAGGAGCAACAATGCCTGTCTGGAAAATAAGGTATGCCTAATTCAGGCCATGGTCTTTACAATTACTTGCTATGCACCAGACAGCTAGAAAATGACCAAAGATGACAGCAGAAGAATCAATGCCTTTGAGCTGTGGTGCAGGAAAAGAGTCTTGAACATACCATGGACTGCCAAGAGAACAGGCTTATCCTAGAGAGGGTGAAATCAGGCTGCTCCTTGGAGGCTAGGATTTTGAAGCTCTTTCTCACATACTTTGGGCATGTCCCCAGGAGGGACCAGTCCTTGGAGAATGAGATCATGCTTGCAAGGGTGGAGGGAAGGAAGGAAGACCGCGGATGAGATGGGCTGACAGAGTAACTGGAATAATGGGCGTAAGTGTATTGGAGACAGTGAGACTAGCTCAGGACAGAGCAGAGTTCCTAGCTATTGCATCTAAGGTTGCTATGAGTCTTAGGTGACTCAATGGCACATAACAACAACAATATAATAAGTGTTCTGGTGGCACAGTGGTTACATGCTGGGCTACTTACCCAAAGGTTGGTGGTTTAAAGCTACTAGCTGCATCTTGGAAAAACATGAGACAGTCTGTTCCTATTAAGGTTTAGGACCTTGGAAACCTAGTGGAGGGTTGCCAAGAGTCAGAATGAACTCAAGAGCAACGAGTCTGTTTGTTTACATTATCTACACACACACACACACACACACACACACACACACACAC